GGCCAACAAAAAAAATATATAGAAAAAATTAGCCGGGCATGGTGGCGCATGCCTGTAGTCCCAGCTACTTGGGAGGCTGAGGCAGAACGATCACTTGAGCCCAGGAGTTTGAGGTTGCTGTGAGCTAGGCTGACGCCACAGCACTCACTCTAGCCCAGGCAAAAAGAGTGAGACTCTGTCTCAAAAAAATAAATAAAATGCCCTAGTCCTTTCACTCTACCACACTCCTAACTACTTGACATTTTCTCTGTCCTCAGAAAAGTTAAGCTATTGGAAACATTTCTCACCTAAGCATCTCTGTGTGTGTGCCACCTTCCCTCTTGTTACTATTGTTGAAGGATACTTTTTTAAAAGAATGTAAAATCGTGACTTGTTACTATTACTGAATGATACTTTTTTTTAAAAGTAATATGAATATAAAGTGAACACATGCCAAAGATTTTGTTTAACTCATTAATAAACCAGTAAGATGTTGGAACCAGTTCAGAGAAAAACCCTAAAAGCAGATGCATACATGGGTGACCAGGCATGGCGAAATTAGTTCGTTCAGTAGATGCAGGACTGGCTTCTGTAATGGCGGAGGGAAATCACTTGGGCCTCCACTGGACCAAATTCATTTGTACGTCCATGGAAAAGAGTTATTTTCATTCCTATCAGTTGTCTACAACTTGCAAAGCTGTAAAATAGCTCAAAGATAATGAGAGATAAAGATAATTCAAAGAATGTGCTAGAAAGGACACCAGTACTAGTTTTTGCTCATTTCGAAATTATTTATAATTTTTCCCTGAAACTGTAAACAAACTTCGGATTTCTACCCAAAGCAAGGCCCTCTCCCTTAGAACCAGGTTCAAATCTCTTTCGCCTACCTAGAGACATTACTTGGCTGTTCTTCTGTCTACTGTATCATCGAGTTTTTGCCCTCTTCTCAACATTCGTATCAGAAGACAAATGTCTGTTTAAAACCTCTAACTCCATTTCCCTCACCCGATACCACCTGATTTCTCTGGTTTCCTTGGCAGCATAACTCTTGGAAAGATCTGTCTATTCTTACTAGCTTCAGTTCTTTCCATCCCACTGCTAAACCCACTCCAATCACTTTTTTAGCCCTCAGGACTCCACTAAACTGCTCTTGAAAAGGTCACCGATGACCATGCTGCTAAATCCTGCAGTTGGTCGCCTCTGGGTGTTCATACCAACATAGCAACAGCAGTTGGTTACTTCA